TTTTTTTTTGTAAACGGTTACTATAAGCGTAATTTACTGACGTCTCTCCTTTTTTTGAGTACTTTTTTTTACAAATTACCCTAAAAGTAAAGTTTTAAAGTTTGAAGTTTTGTGCTTCAAGTAGAAAAAACAAAATTTAGCGAAATTTTTTGGTCAATAATAAATAAAACTTGACAAATTTATCACTTGAAGACTTAACAATTTTATGGCAATTCTGATGGCTCGCCGGTGGAAAAAGTTTTGTTCCCGTAAACGGATTTGGTTTGCACCTAAGCTACAAACTTAATACAAATTTTCTTGTCTGGTTTCTTAGTCTTTCTCATTATTTTAAGTGACCTTGTTTATAGCTACGTCTAAGCCAGCCACAGAGATCATGGTTTAGCAAAATATTTTGTAGAAGCATGTTTACCGCACAATTTGCAAACAGTTTTAATAACTGAAAGTATTATACCGATAAGTAAGTGCATAAATTACGCATCACATTCTATCACAAAATTGCTTTTTTAATAGTAATGTTTTTGAGCTTTATATTAATTGCGTTTATTTCAAAGTCAACCTTATTTTACACTGAATAAAAATGACCAGAAAGATTTTATTTCTGTTGAACCTTTTGAATACTTTATCGCTGATTTATATTGTGTTGGCTGAGGTTTTGGCACTGAATACGCAGAACAGAATATGAGTTTCAAATGCGTATCTGCAAAGCTCTTTAGTACTGATAAATTATCAAGAAAATTAACTTAAACTCTTTAAAAACAATTGTTTTTGGAAAAACTGGAAAAAAAGAGTATATAATGTGATGTTTTATAATTTGTAGACTAAATTTTTTAATCAGAACTGTTGAGGTAAAATCGGTAAAGTCAGCTCAAAATGACAGTGGCTTGTATTCTCTATATATGATGAAGTAGAAAGAGATAGAAAATTAAGGTTATTCAGATAATTTACAACTTATCAAATGTAACATTAACAAAATTTATGTTATAAATCCGACTTTGTGCTCTATTAACCAACTGTTTTTCGCAGTTTTTACTACTTTCGCTGGTGCTTTATGTTCCATTTGAATATTTAAAAGTAACTGTTTACGTTAAACATAGCCACAATTAGCACTACGGAAGTATTTATTTCAGGCGTATTTAAAGTAAAAAATTTAAAATTTTTTAATGCACTTAAACAAATGTTGCTTTTTATGCACCATTTTTAGTCCACTTTGAATAATAGCGAAAGTGCTGATATAAGCGATGTTTTTGTCGTATATAGCAACATGTCATCGTTGAATTGGTACTTCAAATATCCATAGTAATTTTTTGCTCGCTATGGGCGTTATAAATAAAGTATTATTTTTTTAAAAGTTTATGCAAAAAAATGTTTAAACACAAAAAAAATTTAAAAAATTATTGCTTTTATAAATATCACAACCTCTACTGTTTATTTGTAAAATTGTTAATTAATAAGATCGTTGATACTGTTGACATGGTTACGGTCCGATCGTAAACTATGGAATTCCTTACGTACTCAAGTAGATAAAGTGTCGGAAAAAATTTTTTTGTCGAAATGTTATTATAAGGTAATAGTTTTAGACCTTATCAATGGATCCCTTCTATTACGGAAATCGTGGTTATGGAGGTTACGGAGGTGGTATTTTTTGCGGAAGAGTTGGGTTAGTTTGTCTACACAAATTACATTCTTAATACGTCGCTATTTCTTCATTCTTTATGACTTGCCCGAAAAAATATGCTATTGAAGAAAAGTAAATAAACAAGCAAGGGTTCTTTTAGTAGTTTAACACCGATGATCCGTGACTAAACGATAACACTTAACTGAAACAAAATAATTACAGAAGGAAATATGAACCGTAGAAGTTAACTCTAAACTGTGGTTATCAAACAAAACATTTTTTTCCCATTTAATTTTTTCAACAAGCCTTTTAACTG